AATGCTGATGGCAAACATCATCCAAGAGAGACAAGATGGGAAAGGTGCTGAGACAAGATAGCCTAGGGAGCCTTCAGGCTAGATACAAAATTCACACAGGGAAAGGCACGGACTCTGGGGAGACTGGGAAGGTCCTCAGCCATTCAACACCATGCGGACGAGCTCTGTGGAAAGGAAAGGTGGGATGAGCCAGAGAACAGGGCTGTGGAGGGGTACGCCAAGGGCCAGGGGACGACACGACTGCAAAGGTAGCATAAGAGGGAACATGTCCACAGCAACCAACCCTGGGGTCGGTATGCAGAGGAGCCACCTTGAGTCTGACCAGTTCTCCCTGACCCTAGCTCCCCTCCCACCAGCTGTTAGTCCCCCACCCCACCCTGAGCAGCAAGAACACAGCAGAGGCAGAAAAGTTCTCAACTACACCTACAGCTACTGTCAGCCACTGGCGGGAGGAGAGGACAGAGTTTTGGGTTAGGGTACCTCCAAGCTGCCCAGCAAGGAAAGGGGAAAGGACTGTTCAGCTATAGCAGCAGAATGGGGCAGGCAACTCAAACCCGCCTATGCCAGCTACCCAAGCTCCCGGGCCAGAAGATCACCCTAAAGCAAGACTGGTTTACAGGCTGGTCAGAGTTCCCAGACACCAGCTCTCAGGGCCCTATAAGTAAAACCTCAAGGCCCATTCTAGAAGTATGGAGGTACCATACCCCCAGGCTGTCTTCCTTTTTGAGGAATCCCTCCCCTCCCTAGTCAGCTCCATGCAGAAACATGCCAGGAGGAAGTCAGATGGTAGTAGAGTAAGGGCAGGGGATAAAGAGCACAGGTTGGGGAAAAAAAGAAACACTGGGGAGATCAACTAAAGGAGAGGCTGGGAGGAGCCGTACCCGCCCCATGGGCCCGTCACCCCGACAGGATATGCCTCACAAACGCTGCAGGAAGGAAGAGACATTCATGGTGAAGACAAGACACAGACATGGGGTGAGGGGGTCAGGTGGTAGGGAAACAGACATTCCATTATTTTACTTCTCATTCCTTACCCACCCTTTACAACATTACTCCTTCCTTTCCTGTCATACCCCCTTGACCTCCCACTCCTGGGCTAGGCTAGGCAGGGCCGTGCCCCTTGCTTCCTGGCTTTTTGGAGCCGAAGTCCAGGGATAGGGAAGGCCCCAAACACTATACTTGACTTGCCCCATATGCTGCTTCCTAGGAGAAAGCCCATTTCACCCCTTACCTTCGTAGTTGATACAACCATTGCTGTCCTCGTGCCCTGCCACCAGCATCTCTACTTCTTCCTCTGTCATCTTCTCACCTGCAGGGGGAAAGAAACCATTTTTGGAATTGGGTGACAGGGTGACAAGGTATCTCAGGGTGCTGTCTCAGCTCAAGGACAAGGACACAGAACCTTACCCAGTGTGACAAGAACATGCCTGATTTCAGCACCCATGACGGTGCCATTTCCTTCCTTGTCAAAAACCCGAAGTCCTTCGACATAATCCTCATAGGTGCCCTGGTCCTTGTTCTTGGCCACTGTCTGCAGCATGGGCAGAAAGTGCTCAAAGTCCAGCACCTTCACATTCATCTCTGCCATAAAGGAGGTGGAAGTGTCAGGCCAGAGAAGTGACACAAGTTCTCTGGACAGGATTATGGAGACCTCTACTGAACAGAGAGATGACTCCCCGCTAAAAGCAAGGAAATCCATCGGATTTGTTAATCCAGACTTGCTTGAGTTTGGGGCCTTTGAAGATAAAGGGAAAAGCTCTTAGCTGAAGAACTGGGCCCACCACCACACGGAGGAGTTGTTCTTGAGGCCCCTCACCATCACTCTTGGGGTTCCCCAGGACCTTGAGCACCTCGGCGTTGGTGGGGTTCTGGCCCAGGGCCCTCATCACGTCCCCACACTGGCTGTACAGGATCTTGCCATCACCTGTTCGGTCAAACAGCTGGAAGGCCTCCTTGAACTCTAAGGATTCAGATGAATGTCAACACAGGATTTGAGGGTTAGCCCAAACCCTACCTCAGAGCTCTGCTGCCCATTCAACTTTGATCATGCTGAGGAAACCAGATATCTGTACCAAACTGTACACCAAAGTCTACTTAAGAGAGATCTATTTCTCTTCCTCCCAACTCAGGTGTCCGATATAGAGCCTTCCTCCCCCCTTTGGCAGCCTGGTAACATCCATTTACACACATCCCCTCTGCCTCCAGCAGGCCCGCCAATCTCTGCTGCTGCTGCTGCTGCTGCTGCTGCTACACTTCAGGGCAGGAATTTGCCACCACCCAGTCTCAGTCCTGTCCTTATAAGGAAGTGGGAGCAGCAGCCTGGGACTAGGGTCATCCCAAACTGCCACTTCCCACCCCTCTAGTACAAAGAGAAATTCCAGAGAGTAGCGCTACAAAGTCATATCCTTAGCAAACTACCCCGTCCTGTCCCCATCTGCACAGAATATCAGGTCACTGCTCTACAGTCTTTACAACTGCAAGTTGGGAGGGCGGGGACAGTTATCACAGGAGGAGAAAAGACACAGAAGTAGCTGATTAAGGGACAAAGGAGCACAGGCAGCTTTATACACCCTCCCCAAGCCCCACACACGGCAGGCATTAGGTGACCAAGTTTTTTCACATACCCACACCACCTAAAACTCACCCAGTGCTTGGGACTCAGATCTAGAGTGGAAGGGGAGGGAGGAAGAAAGTGAGAAAAGGAAGTGGAGGATCCAGAAGAAGAGAAAATAATCCAGGGGGTAATTTCATGGGAATGCTGAAGAGATGACAGGTTAGGATTAGAGGATAGGTGCTGGGGGGAATGTCCCTCTCCCTAAGGGTGACCTCAGTAGGGATCAAGAGATTACCTACCTGCGGTCTGGTCTTCGGTGAAGTCACACTGCTCAGAAAAGAGATGAGTGGTCAGCATCTGAACGCCAATCCCTCGAGTTTGTATCCCAGCCCCACTAACTCTGACCCACAAGTTCCTGCTTCAGGCTGCAGACTCGCTTTCCCACAGGACAGAGCTCTGGGCTTTCCAACCACACCTTCAACCTTTCGGGTCCTCAGGTTCCCTTTGCCTCCTACCCCTGCCTTCTTCTCGCCCCCCACCCGTTTCTTCCCGCCTCTCGCGCCCAATCCTGCCCATCTCCCAGGCCCTGGGCCCCACCATCTTGACTGCTCAGCTCTGCGGCACCTTTTCCTGCAGTAATGGCTCCGACTCTCGGCCCAACCCTAGTCTTAGTACGTCCCAATGACGTCACCCTCAGCGGACTCAGCCAATAGGAATCGTGTTCTGGGTTTATGCAGATAATTGCTACATTAGTAATGACGTAGGCGTCATTACTGTTCCTTTCTACAGCCTACCTGGGCGCAGAAACTCTAGAGGGTAGGGGTGGGGGTGGGGCGCAATGAACCTGCACCTCCCAACAACAGGAAGATCAGAGGATCGGAAGAGGAGAGAGCCCTCCCTTCCCTCCCTCTCCTCCTAGCACCCTCCCCCTCCTCCTAGTACCCTCCCCGTTTCCCCCGCTCCCCACACCAGGAAGAAAACAGCAGTCTGAAACCAAGGGAGGAACCGAGTCTTTATTTTGAAACAATAGGTGGCCTCCTGGTGGCTGGAACGCGCTTCTGCCTGCGGGGCCCAGTATTCGGGCCCCACTGATCTGTGGAAAAAAACGAAAGTTGCCAAGCGTGGAGCTCGCGCAGGAACCATACAGCAGAACGCACTCCGCTGCTTTTCTATGCGGGCTGTGAGAAGGGCAGGAGACTTGCCTCAGGGCGGGTTGAAGGGGTGGGAGGGCCCTACCTGCAGCACTCAGACGCTTAGGATGTGTTTCAGGAAGGCTGCAGAGAGAGGAGGCAAGACGGGCTTCAGAAGCAGGCTTTTGGATAATACATTTGACTCTAGGTAATCCAGGGGTGCCCCCGCCCACACACGGCAAGACGTTGGGCTTCCCTCCTCTCCCGGCCCCTCTCCCATTCCTTTTGGCCCCTCACCCTCATAGTTGATGCAGCCGTTGCTGTCCTCATGTCCTGCCAGAACAGTCTCCACCTCCTCCTCAGTCATCTTCTCTCCTGAATCCCAGACAGCGTCTAAGCCCCTGCTTTCCCTCCTTCACCCACCCAGGCCACGCTCTTTATTTTTATTTTTTATTTTTATTTTTTGAGATGGAGTTTCGCTTGCTGCCCAGGCTGGCACGCAGTGGGGCGATCTCGGCTCACTATAACCTGCTCCTCCCCGGTTCAAGCGATTCTCCTGCCTTAGCCTCCAGAGTAGCTGGAATTACAGGTGCCCACCACCATGCCCGACTCATCTTTTGTATTTTTAGTAGAGACAGGATTTAGCCATGTTGGGCAGGCTGGTCTCTAACTCTTGACCTCAGGTGATCCGCCCTTCTTGGCCTCCCAAAATGCTGGGATTACAGGCATGAGCCACCACACCCAGCTTTTTGCTTTTTCCGTATATTTTTATATACAATATGAACATAACAATTGCAATTTTTTTTTTTTTGAGACGGA